TTATAATGTACAAATGAAAACCTTTTGCCTGAGGGTTTTGGGTCTAATATAATAATATAAAATAAAATAATATAAAATAAAATATAATATAGTTGGCTGAGACCACGAGCAGTTCTGTCTTAGCAAGGTTGAGTTGAAGGTGATGATCCTTCATCCAGCCAGAAATGTCTCTCAGACAGGCTGCAATGCGAGCAGCTACCGTCGGGTCATCTGGCTGGAAAGAGAAGTAGAGTTGAGTGTCATCAGCATAGTAGTGATAGGAAAAGCCATGCTTCTGAATGACAGATCCTAAAGATGACATGTAGATGGAGAAGAGAAGTGGTCCAAGCACTGAGCCTTGAGGAACCCCAGTAGCAAGAAGTTGTGACTTAGAAACCTCACCCCTCCAAGACACCCTTGAAGGACCTACCAGAGAGATAGGCTTTTGAAGCCAGATTGGTTGCTGTCCATGAGGTTGTTCTGTACAAGAAACATAAGAGAGCTGGTTGAACACAACTCGTTCAAGTGTCTTTGCAATGAACGGGGTTTTTTAAGCAGTGGGCTTACCCGAGCCTGCTTAAATGCTGTGGGAAAGGTACCAGAGTGAAGAGAGGTGTTGATAATGTTAGTAAGAGCGCAGGTATAACTGAAGCAGAAATGGCCTGAAGGAGGTGAGTGGGGATAGCATCAAGCGGACAATTAGTAGGATGATTGGAAAGGATAAGTTTAGAAACTTCTGCCTCCGAGAGTGGAGAGAAGGAGGAGAGAGAATGAGTATTTATGGTTATTAAGTTTCTGTCAGTTTGTGGTGTGGAGAATTGGTCGCTGATGGTTCGTGTTTTATTTATGAAGAATATTGCAAAGTCACCGGCAGTATGAGTTGATGAAGGAGGGGGTGGAGGAGGACAAAGAAGAGAAGAAAAAGTTTTGAAAAGCGTGCAAGAGTCAGAACAGTTGCTAATTTTATTGTGGTAGTATGTTGTTTTAGCAGTGGAGAGACTTGCAGAGAAGGAGGAGAGGAGTGACTGATACACACTAAGGTCGGTAGAGTGTTTTGATTTGCGCCACTTCCTCTCTGCAGCCCTGAGTCTAGAGCGATGTTCCTGGTCTGGATGAAAGGGGGCAAAAGTTGTCTAAGCAAGATGTTAGAGTGGAGCAAAGAGTGTCAGTAGCACTGTTTGTGTCCAGTGCTGAAAACTGAGAGGGTGAAGGAAGTGAGGATGAAACCATAGAGGATAGGCGAGAGGGAGAGAGCGAGCGTCATTAGCTCAGTTTTAAACAGCAGACGTCAATGGAAAGTTCCTGTCATGTGATTAACTGGTTTTGATGTTCATGTGGGATGAAATTTCTATAATTCAGCAAAATCTGACCAGTGTATCCTGTGTGATGAAAACATATGACTAAATAATGCTCTGTTACACATCTAAAAACATCTGGACTATATAAATAGTATTTTAAAGCACACAAACATACATAATAATACATGTTGTGTTCATATATAAAATGAAAAGCATTTGCAATTTTAAAGTCAGTCATTCACGTAAAAATAATTCAATTATAATAGAATATTATTATCTAAGCAAGTTTGTTGTTGGTTCAGTAGTAGCAATATTTTGGATTTCTTTTCAATTCTTGTAAGAAAAATGGAACGAATAAAGGCTGGATTTTACAGATGCACCATATTAATATCTACTTAAATAAAATATAATAAATTCAACATTTTTAATCGACAAACCACCAACATTGAATGATTTGATATTAATTATAAAATACATTTTAATCTCATTAATTCATTAATTATCTCAACATAAACAATAATTTATGATAAAAGAATTTCTGTTGTCTTACTTCAATAACATAATCGACAATTATGGATCAGTTTATTAGTTAATAACCCAAAAGTAGGTCAGTTAGCTATAAATATCAGTCTAGTTAATAATAAAAACAAAAAACTAAAATTCTGACATTATTGATCGATCAACAGACTGAGAGTTAAACAGCAATAATTTATTATGATAGCTGAATATTACATTAAAAACTTGCACTGCATATCAAACTCTCCACATGAAGTCCTTCATCTCATCAAACACAGAAGAGCCATAATCACGTAATTTATCATTCATAACCATCATGGATGTACAGTACAGCATTTCACATATACAGTATCTGAGTCAATGATAAGTTTCTAGTTTTAAATACAGAAAATAGAAGATGTTTTTGCTTTTGCACTGTCCCAAAAAATATTTAAAATCATGCAGGGTAATAATTTAATATGTCCAAAATAGTGCAAATAAAATAATAATAATTTTCTAAATCATAATAGTAAAATCTGTTGCATTGATATTCCACTCTACCAACTCAAAACCTATTTTAAATTATTAACTAATGTATTTACATATATGTTTTTAGCAGATTTGTGCACAACCCTGTTACCATCCTATTTTCACCAAAAAAATAAATAAAAATAAAATAAAATATATATCTTTATATCTTTAAAATTTCTACAAAATATTCCCGAAAGTGACATACAAGTACATTTCTCTTAATCAATTAATCGCATTCAAAATAAAAGTTTTTGTTTACATAATATATGTGTGTGTACTGTGTATATTTATTATGTATATATTAAATACACACACATAAAATGAAAATATTTACATGCATATACATTTATATATTCATATTATTATATTTTATATAAATATATTTGATATATAAACATTACATATTTTTCTTAAATATATACATGCGTGTGTGTGTATTTATATATACAAAATAAATACACACAGTAAACACACTCATATATTATGTAAACAAAAACTTTTATTTTGAATGCGATTAATCGTTTGACAGCACTAATATATATATATATATATAATTATTAGTGTTTTTTATTATCATGCATTTTTGTTCATTGCTAGAAAAATATAAATCCACACAAACCATATTTAGATACGAATCCAGTAATATTAAGTAAATATGAACAACTTAGTTTGAACTCCTGAGTTGGACAAACATTTCCATCTTTTACTGACCATTTGTTGGAAAAAACACATACAACTCATATATTTGTGCAAAGGCCCTTGAGATTCTGTTCAACATGAAAGTTCATTAAAAACATGAATGAAATCAAACAGAAGACCTCGAGTTCAATCCTTCCTGATCCAAACCTCCAGTAAGCGGGTCTTTCTCATCCATTATATTCACTGTCTGGAGTTTCTGCTTCCGTACAGACACAATCAAACCTCCTTCACAAACATATGAACACGTTACGACTCCTGTCCTGTAAACATCAGCCTGCAAAGAAAAACTGCTGAACAAATATTAAGGCATGTATAAAATGATGTTATTGGGTACGCTTTACTGAAAGCGTCTGACTGTAAAGCTCTCTTCATGAAGAATCACACATCAGATGAGAGCGAATCATGCGTCATGTGACAGTGTGAGGGTCACATGATGAAGAAGTGAGGTCATGTGACATGCATGCCAGCCGACACGCTCTCTGAACGTTGTGGGAACGTTGCACTGTTATGCATTTTTGTTCATTGCTAGAAAAATATAAATCCACACAAACCATATTTAGATACGAATCCAGTAATATTAAGTAAATATGAACAACTTAGTTTGAACTCCTGAGTTGGACAAACATTTCCATCTTTTACTGACCATTTGTTGGAAAAAACACATACAACTCATATATTTGTGCAAAGGCCCTTGAGATTCTGTTCAACATGAAAGTTCATTAAAAACATGAATGAAATCAAACAGAAGACCTCGAGTTCAATCCTTCCTGATCCAAACCTCCAGTAAGCGGGTCTTTCTCATCCATTATATTCACTGAAAGCGTCTGACTGTAAAGCTCTCTTCATGAAGAATCACACATCAGATGAGAGCGAATCATGCGTCATGTGACAGTGTGAGGGTCACATGATGAAGAAGTGAGGTCATGTGACATGCATGCCAGCCGACACGCTCTCTGAACGTTGTGGGAACGTTGCACTGTTATCTAAAACCTCACACGCTCCCTACCTAGACAGCATTTCAAGACATCACACTTATGCGGATGTTTGAATAAAAGCATAACCTAATATGATTTAAAGCAGGATGTTCCAATCAGTGTTGCTTTAGTATAATTCATATACCATTAGTTTATATTAATATTTTGAATTACTTTTTATTAATATTTTATTTCGTTTTTATTTATTTTATGAATTTTTGTATTTTAATTTCATTTTAATTGTAGTTGCTGTGTGATTTTGTCTTTTTTTTACATGCCCATATTAATTTTTATTTCAGTTTTAGTTATTTTAGTCAATTTAAACTAAATGAAAATGTGAAATGTTGCCTTGGGAATTAAATATATATATATATATATATATAGTTGTTGTTAACTACAATATATCTAAAATATAATAAAGCTGAAATAAAATATACATTTTAGATGAGAAACTTAAAAAACGTAAACAAAAATTAGAAATGTTGCCTTGGCAAATAACTAAAACTAAATGAAGATGAACTACTAAAAATAATATAAAATTTAATTTAAGATCATTGTTGTTATTGTTAATTAAAACTATTGTTGTTAACTGAAATAAAATAAAATAAAATATTAGATGAAAATTGAAAATATTTATGAAAAATTACATTGGCAACTAACTGAAATTTAATAAGCTGAAGATGAAGTACTAAAATTACTAAAACTAAAAATATTTAAAGCCAAAAATGTCATTTAAAAAAAAGAATAAAATTTTAAAACGACTGAACCCGAAAACATGTATATATGTAAGAAAAATGGCCGTGATGCTGCTGCTGTCTGTGTAGTGAGTGCGGATGCTGTCTATGAAGGGCGTTCTCTCAGGATCTGTTGAAGGCCGCCAGCACGGCCCAGATCATCTCCTCGGCGGGGGTCGTGACCTTTGCACTCTCCAGGTCGGGGTTGGCCTCCAGCAGGCTGCGTGAGCGTGAGCAGACCGTGTCGTAGCGCTCGTCGCTCAGAAAACTAAAAATATTTAAAGCCAAAAATGTCATTTAAAAAAAAGAATAAAATTTTAAAACGACTGAACCCGAAAACATGTATATATGTAAGAAAAATGGCCGTGATGCTGCTGCTGTCTGTGTAGTGAGTGCGGATGCTGTCTATGAAGGGCGTTCTCTCAGGATCTGTTGAAGGCCGCCAGCACGGCCCAGATCATCTCCTCGGCGGGGGTCGTGACCTTTGCACTCTCCAGGTCGGGGTTGGCCTCCAGCAGGCTGCGTGAGCGTGAGCAGACCGTGTCATAGCGCTCGTCGCTCAGCGAGGACAGTGTGTTCTCCAGCACGTCTGCGGCGTGCGCTAGCAGGATCAGCGCTAGCATGCGGCGGCTCATGCGGCGCCAGTCGTTGGTCCAGCGCTCCAGCAGACTGTCCTGCAGACGCTGCACCAGACGCTCCTTCTCGCTGCTGTCTGTCAGCGGGTGCGTGGTCATGTCGAACAGCAGGAAGTTCTGCTTCTCCGTGCTCAGGACACCCTTCTCCACCAGACTCTTCGCCAGACGCTCGCGCACGTTACGCATCTGGAAGTGCAGCTTTAAGGGGTTCCACGTCTCGCCTGAAAACAACCGGAAAAACCCGTCAAATAATGACATTTCCAGGCCACAGCTCACACCACAATCAAAACACATGAAGTCACACTGCAAAAAAAGGCTGTTCCCTTTTAGTCGGTCACTACGAGTCATGTCGTGACCGACGAATTGGAATCTCGCTTCGAGAGACCAATCTACTTCGAGTGTAACTAAACGAGCCAATGGACATTGGCATGCGATGATTGCATCCAGCTGCCGCTGATCACAGCGTGAGCATAAAAAGGCAGCAGGTGCAACGCATACCAGCTTTTCGCTTCGGAGCCGAGCGATCACATCGTTTTGCTCCTGACTACTCTACTGAGAGAAGAAGACTGAACGCGTTTAGCGCGCTCTTTGAGAGCTCTTGGTGTTGGCGGCACGGCGCTTCAGTGGTGGTGGTTTCCCGTGTCGAGTGGGTTGCACACATCAGGCTGCACTACCCCCTGTTTGTCTTGCAGGAGAGTGCAGTTTTCTCTGTCTCTGGGTCCCAAGAGGGCATGGAGATTCGCGGACGAACCAACACCGGACCACACTCATCCTCCTCTCTCTCCAGCACGCAGCAGCGGGTGGTTCGGGAGCATTATCAAAGGCCCTACTCTGCCAAACCGTGGAACCAGGTAAGCGTTGCACCGCACACTCAGACCCCTCTTCGGTCCGCCCATGGACCGGATCCCTGCGTTCCACCTTGCTGCCATACCGCGGGTACATCAGTGGGCCTGCTGGTCCAGCTTGTTCAGTGTCTGGGTGCCTGGCTACCCAAACCGTCCCGCTGGCTCCTGTGGACCATCAGACTCAGCTATGCGATTCAGTTCGCCCGGCGTCCCCCCAAGTTCAGCGGCATCCGATTCACATCAGTGAAGGCGGCCGATGCTCCTGTCTTGCGTGCGGAAATCGCAGTCCTACTGGCGAAGGATGAGCTAGAGCCGGACCGGCTCCAGCTGATATGAAGACGGGGTTTTACAGCCCCTACTTCATTGTACCCAAGAAAGGCGGTGGGTTCTGATCGATCTTGGACCTGCGTGTCTTGGACCAGGCCCTTCACCGGTTACCGTTCAAGATGTTGACGCAGAAACGCATCTTCGGGTGCATCCGTCCCCGAGATTGGTTTGCAGCGATCGACCTGAAGGACGCGTACTTTTTTATGTGTCGATCCTTCCGCACCACAGACCATTGCTGCGGTTCGCGTTCGAAGGATGAGCATATCAGTACAAGGTCCTGCTCTCTGGGCTGTCCCTGTCTCCCCGTGTCTTCACGAAAGTTGCGGAGGCAGCCCTTGTTCCCCTGAGAGAGCAGGGCATTCGCATTCTCAACTACCTCGACAACTGGCTCATACTAGCTCAGTCTCAGGATCAGTTGTGCGAACACAGGGACTTGGTGCTCTCGCACCTCAGCCGGTTGGGCGTTCGCGTTTGGACGGGCCCCCAACTGCACTGGCACATCAACTGCCAAGAGTTGTTAGCAGTACGCCTTGCCTTGAACCGTCTAAGAGGGCGCTTACGAGGCAAGCACTTGCTGGTCCGCACGGACAACACTGTGTAGGGTATCAGAGCGAATCAGACACTTTAAGATTCGATCAGATTGGTGTTGAACAACCCAAAGAGCCGAATTCCACAAAGAGGCC